GATGTTTAGTTTTCTGAACCTATGTGCTAGTTGATGAAGTATGTTCTTATGTGGAAGGCATATGCTAATATATTATTTATAAAGGCATGCTGTAGTATATATGATATCCTAGTGTATGAAATGCTATTATAGTTGAAATATTTTGTTTTATCGGTGTATTACATTCTGGTATGTTGGCATGTTTTGTCACATACAGTAAAACCTTGTTGACATGAACCTGCTAAGATGAACACTCAGTTAACATCAACAACATTTTGGTCCCAGTATGGACAATGCGTTCATAATACATCTGTTTAGCCCCCGGTTGCATGAAATGTTTTTCTAACATAAAGTCTTGATTTTTCATTAACTTAGATTTTTGTTAATGAAGTTTTACTGCATTTCCTAACTTGTATCCTACTGTATGTGTGCTGTATGTTAGTCAATGTGTCCTAGAGTCTGTAGTCTGTGTACCGTGTCCTAGCGTATGTAGTCTATGTACTGTGTCTTACTGCATGTGCTTTGTCCTACTGTATTTTCTGTGACCCACTGTATGCTAGTATACATACTATATCCTGCTGTATGTGCTGTCCCAGTATAATGTATGTTTTCATTTAGAATGTACTGTGGGCTGTTTCAAAGTATTGTGAATATATTTTGGCACTTTCCCAGTTCATGTGATATTACCGTACATACTGATTTATTGTGTGAATAGTTGATGACACTATTTAAGTATGCTGTATTGTGTTGATGTTTTGTCATTTTAAGAAAAAAATGTTATTTTTAAAAAAAAAAACAGTCATGCAATCTGTCCGTAGTTATAGCTGGTAACCGATGTTGTTTTGTAGTTGTAGTAATGTAGCATTTCATGTCATTTTTATTGACAGCAACCATTTATTTAATTTTATTTGGTCCTTGTTCTTATGCTACCCCAAATATTGTGTATCTGTCAGTGCATTTTATATTATTTGTCATGTACTTTTGTGTCAGGGGTACTCGATACGTTCAGCTTTTTAAGTTATATATGATTGCAGAACAATATACACACGTTTCTCTGTGAGCTTTGCTGAAACCTTTTTCTCATTTAGTCACGAGAAGTAGGTTCATGTTGCAGACATAATCTCAGATCTGGCTGTCTGTAAACTATTTCCTCAGAGGTGTGTCTTTCTTCCTGAAGAGTCTTCATGTAAACAGCATGCCAGTATTCCAATGTTGACAGTCCCTGTAGAAAGAGAACAGTTGATGTCTCCAACATTTCAGTAAAAATGTTTTATTGTTATGTGTCAGGTTTTGTTTGTTACTGCCAGAGTTCTTACAGTTATTAGTTAGAATTAAATTCCAGAGAAGCTGATCTCTACTGGACACACTCTACCTGATAGGTAACCTGCTGACAGCTGCAGTGACCTGAGTTTACAAATTACAAATTTGTGTAGGTTCAATCAACATCATTTTGACTGTTCAATACACCAACAGTTTTGTTTTCTGTACAAGTGAGTTACAGATTAAGTCAAGTCTCACAGAGGAATGGCAACTGAGCCACCATGTTGCTAGTAAAGATTTCTCAAACAAACATTTTGTGTATTTTATTGCCAAGATCAGAAAGAAAGATGCAGTTTTGATTTATGTTGTGTATTGTCAAGATATGACCTATATTATATGACTTGGAAAGGGGAGTCCAGACAACAAACCACAAGATTGCTCTAGTGACTCAATTACAAGTACTTATAGCCACAGTCACTTCCATCTTCATAATTCGGGTTGTAGACCTACAAGCTCAGCGTTGGCACCAACGACCATTTCCCTGACCAGCTGAGAATCACAAATCATGTTTCTCTCTGCACAGTGAACAGAACCATCACTGTATACTGTTGTGTCACTTTCGCCTGTATTTTCATCTGTCAGTTGTTGGTCCTCCACCAACTCATTTCACTACTCTCCTCATATATCTACAATGTGATGATGGCTTGGTGGAAGATGTTCTTGTGTCTGCTGGTTGCTACTCTAATAGTATATCCAGTTTTGCTATTTAAGTCCATTTTTTACTCTGCTTCATTTGTGGAATGTCTGTCATAACTGGTGATTGGCATGTAGACACTGGTCTGTTCCTTTATGTCTGCATTTCATTGATAACTTACTCTTTGTGTTTGCTGGCTGTTAACTCCGATATAAAGTTGTTGTTCATCCAGTTCTCAACTTGTTTTGTTCCAAAACTTGGGTGCACATTCATTTTACAGATCTGGCATATTTGTGTGCACCCCGTTGGCTCCTTGCCTCTCAGGCAGATGTACTCCGACTTAGAAAGCTCTTACAACATACTTCTTAGGAAGGCAGTGGGTCTGTTCTTGTCTTTCCCCCTGCACCAACACAGAATTTCACTGATATAAGTCAAAGCATTTAACTTTCTAATAATACACCCCAAGACAATTTGCATCCCTTCATGCTGGATCCATTCCAGTCGTTTGGACTGAATTGATAGTGTAACAATACCCAGGTCATAATCAGTTACTGAGAGAACTAGACAGTGGAAATATAAGACAGGTAGTCTCTGCCTCATGTGAGTGTGTATCCCATCAGTCTTCAATGCGGGCAGGTGGCAAGTGCATTGAATGAGTCTGCTCTGTGTGATAATGATATTGAGCCTGTCCAGTTTCTAATGTGAGGTGAACTTAAACCATGCTGGGAAAAAATACTCCAAAATAACCATTTACAAGCTGGACAGAACAACACCCCATGTTTTATAGAAAAGCAAATAAATGGGGAATGTATTGGTGCAGCCCCTGCCTCCCCTTTTTCCTCAATGGTCAGTTGTCACTCATAAGCTTATTCTCTTTCTATGAGTCACAGGGGGTTTAGCATCAGAGGCCCAAGAGGTGGTAATACTATTTTTTTAATTTCACAAGTGTAACACATTAAAACATACCATACTAATTCAGCTTCCATGCAAGTCATACACATATTTTACATCAAAGTGACCAGGGAATGTGGAGGAAAAATATTAGATTACATCTACAATAAATAATTGTGCTAGTAGTTAATTAGTAAATAAACAGATGGCATGATTAGAGAAATTAGTCAAATGAAATATATTGTTCCACTTACCAACATGGCACTCAAGGAAAACTCAATAATATATCCAAAATGAACCACAAATGAACATGAACCACTTAGTAATGTATAAGTAAAAAAAAAAAACAAAAAAAACTCAATAAAACTAATCTTGTTCCAGAGAAACTTTTGTAGCATTCAAACAGATCACCGTTTTTAAGTAAAGAGAATTGACCTTTCAAAATAATTTTCTTCCTCAAAAAGAAGTTTATATAACACTCAATTTTCCTGTAACTTTGTAGCCATTCATAAGTAATATGGGTAATAGCACCAGAACTAAATGACACTGAAACAAATAGAGACTTTTTCAATAATATTTATTCTCTTTGTACAAGCTGACTTTGTTATTGTTATATGCTCTGCTTGAGGTTATCTCAGGCTATCATCAAAGTTTGACTCTTATCGATGCCTGAAACAAATCTAATTCACAACTTTATCCATCTAACATCAGATAAATCTGATAAACATGTGTTTTATTTAAATGTTAAAGCCATCATGCATTTAGAATACTGCTCAGCTGCCATCATGTATTAAAACGAACACTGTAGTAACTCGGTAAACCTGGCAAACACACTACATTTTAGGCTTTTAACCATGCTTCCAAATAAAGCTGATAGCATGTGTGATATCAAACAAAAAGAAATGGAGAGAATTTCAATTGTATGTTCCATATTTTTACACTGGTCAGTTCAGTGGTGAATTAAAAAAAACCTGTACGTGTCACGTGCCGATTAAGTTTTTTTACTGTCAAACAATCGACACACTTAAGGTACATGATTTATGTTAATGTTAGAAAACACAAAATAAATAGACAGACAACCACTGTTACTGTTACATACACACATGCGTGCAGAGAGAAAGAAGGAATTTTGTTTGGGTATGTTTGATTCACTTCCCATCTAAGGGACGCTTCCCAGCTTTACAATCATGGAAACATCACAATGTAAAAATGCAACAGTGGTGGTTTTCAGCTATTTCAGCTTTTACTTCAAGACACCAACTGGAAAAAATGCTACTCTTAAACAATATGCAAACATCACAACTGCAGTCCTCAAACAAACTCCATACCAGGTCATACCCACCTTACAGCACTCTCTATCTCTACCCTGCTCTCTTTCACTCTACTTACTTTATAACTCTCCTCAATCAATCAATCAATCAATCATCACACCCAGATACACATAAGGCAGAGACAAACTGTCGCCACTCAATTCGATCCGGAGCCATCCTCTCTATCTTCAGTTGTATCCTTCGCATAGCCTTGAGTTCAGCCTAAAAAGTTTGCCCTTCAAGTGCCTCTGGGTCAGCCTCTTCCTCGCTGTCCATGAGGTGTTCATTGCAATGCCTGTCTCGGCGGTCTTTCTGACTTCATTCTCAGGATGTGTCCAATCCACCTCCATTTTCATTTTTTGATTTCTAAATTTACGTCTTCTAAGTCTGTCTTTGTTGTAATCTAGAATTGCTGATTTTATCTTCCCATGTGAACCCCAACAATCTTCTGAAAAGTCTTCCCTCAAAATCTCTGAGCATGCTCTCTATCTTTCTGTCAGTTTTCCAAGTTTCTGCTCCATAGAGGAGACTGTCCTAATGTATATTTTGTATATCCTGAATTTAGTTTTAGTGCTGTAGATGTTTGATTTCCAGACACTCTGAAGTCTATTTGCCTTTGCAATTTTCTGTTTGATTTCAACCACTATATTTCCATCTGAGGAAATGTTGCTTCCCAGGTAAGTGAAGTGAGTTAACTGTTTCCAAACCTACATTATTTATTACTATAGGTCTTTCACTTTTGAGGTTTATCTCTCCTACCTCCTATCTAATATTCTCATGTATATCGATGATTCTCATACCTTCACTCATATGCTCAATTCTGATGCACAATCATGTCTAAAACTCAGTGGCCACTTTCTCCCCAGTTACAAATTATAATGATCTATATGCTGCACCTCGTCCTCTGTCACTGCATTGGCTCCAATGATATGTTGTAACGGCAAGCTAGAGAAGTGTTTCCGCAAGTGCTGCAGACCTCTCTTGGATGCATCGTGTAACTTCTTCTCATCTCTCAACTCAACTACCAGATCTCTGATCACCTCATTCAAGTCATTTACTTCCATCTCCCGTTTTGTCTGAGCTTTTCTTTCCACTAGTTGTATTTCCCGAAGAAGATTATGTTTGCTTTCCAGAAGTTCAGCTTCCAGTTTCTGCCTCCAAAGTCTCTCTTTTTCTAGCATCATGTGGGTGGTCTTCACTTCTTCCCAGGCTTTCAGCTGCAAGAGAAAATACAGCATGTGCCTCAGATACGACAGACAGATAATGTGAGAGGCCTGGCTACTACAGACAGAAAATGTGTCACATGTGAGAGGCCTGGCTACTACAGACAGAAAATGTGTCATGTGAGAGGCCTGGCTACTACAGACAGAAAATGTGTCATGTGAGAGGCCTGGCTACTACAGACAGAAAATGTGTCACATGTGAGAGGCCTGGCTACTACAGACAGAAAATGTGTCATGTGAGAGGCCTGGCTACTACAGACAGAAAATGTGTCATATGTGAGAGCGCTCAGCCACTACAGACAGAAAATGTGTCAAATGTGAGAGCGCTCAGCCACTACAGACAGAAAATGTGTCAAATGTGAGAGCGCTCAGCTACTACAGACAGAAAATGTGTCACACGTGAGAGGCCTGGCTACTACAGACAGAAAATGTGTCACATGTGAGAGGCCTGGCTACTACAGACAGAAAATGTGTCATGTGAGAGGCCTGGCTACTACAGACAGAAAATGTGTCACATGTGAGAGGCCTGGCTACTACAGACAGAAAATGTGTCATGTGAGAGGCCTGGCTACTACAGGCAGAAAATGTGTCATGTGAGAGGCCTGGCTACTACAGACAGAAAATGTGTCATGTGAGAGGCCTGGCTACTACAGACAGAAAATGTGTCATGTGAGAGGCCTGGCTACTACAGACAGAAAATGTGTCACATGTGAGAGGCCTGGCTACTACAGACAGAAAATGTGTCACATGTGAGAGGCCTGGCTACTACAGACAGAAATGTGTCATGTGAGAGGCCTGGCTACTACAGACAGAAAATGTGTCATGTGAGAGGCCTGGCTACTACAGACAGAAAATGTGTCATGTGAGAGGCCTGGCTACTACAGACAGAAAAATGTGTCATGTGAGAGGCCTGGCTACTACAGACAGAAAATGTGTCACATGTGAGAGGCCTGGCTACTACAGACAGAAAATGTGTCACATGTGAGAGGCCTGGCTACTACAGACAGAAAATGTGTCATGTGAGAGGCCTGGCTACTACAGACAGAAAATGTGTCACATGTGAGAGGCCTGGCTACTACAGACAGAAAATGTGTCACATGTGAGAGGCCTGGCCACTACAGACAGAAAATGTGTCACACGTGAGAGGCCTGGCTACTACAGACAGAAAATGTGTCACATGTGAGAGGCCTGGCTACTACAGACAGAAAATGTGTCATGTGAGAGGCCTGGCTACTACAGACAGAAAATGTGTCACATGTGAGAGGCCTGGCTACTACAGACAGAAAATGTGTCATGTGAGAGGCCTGGCTACTACAGACAGAAAATGTGTCACATGTGAGAGGCCTGGCTACTACAGACAGAAAATGTGTCATGTGAGAGGCCTGGCTACTACAGACAGAAAATGTGTCATTTGTGAGAGCGCTCTGCCACTACAGACAGAAAATGTGTCAAATGTGAGAGCGCTCAGCCACTACAGACAGAAAATGTGTCAAATGTGAGAGCGCTCAGCTACTACAGACAGAAAATGTGTCACACGTGAGAGCGCTCAGCTACTACAGATAAAAATATATATCAAATGTGAGAGTCCTCTGCTAATACAGACAGAAAATGTATCATGTGAGAGGCCTCAGCTACTGTGGACAGAAAACTGATGTTTTCTATTCTGCACTGGCACCAATTAATAAATACTTGCATTTTATTTGTTTTCAAGTTTCTAACTCATACGCAGGTACTGATTTTACATTCTTTTTCTTCTTCTTCTTCTTGTCCTCTTCCACCTTGTACCTCATCAAAGTTTTGGGGGGAGATGTAACATTTGTTGATGAGCTCTGTCAAGAGCAGTATTAAGACTTCATTTCTGTAAGTCTGTTCTTAATGTCATCACTCCATCTGTTCTGAGGTCTTCCACTTGCTCTATACCCATTGTTAAGTTTTAGTGTGGCTTGCTGTGGCAGATAGTAACAGGAAATTCTTGTTAGGTGTCAAAACCACTTCATTTGTTGTTCTTTGAGGACCTGTAAGACTGGCTTTATTCCTAGCATTCGTCTGATTTGGTATTCTGTCTTTCCTTGAAACTCCTGCGGCTCTTCTAAGGCATTTCATCTCTGTTGTCACAATTTTACGTTCATTGGAGGATGTAAATATGGTCATCTAAATATGGTAATAAACTAAATTTACACCGAGTTACTGTTTCCTAGTGCTGTGCTTTTGTTCCCCCTTTTTAATACTTATTTCGGTACCAATATCTGTCAACATTACTACCAAAATGACCAGATTGTACTATTTGAAGTGAGATTCACTTTAGCTCTCTCAGACAGAAAATAGTGATTTGTTCACTATTTGTATGAACCGTGTTTATCTTTTAAAATTTTTCATTGCCTGTCCAGAAGTCACTGCTCTCTCTCCATCTAACTGCATATTTAATAATTACACCATGAGAAGTGTGTGTGTGTGGGGGGGGGGGGGATTAAAGTTCAACTACAGGTGGAATTAATCAAGTTGGTCAGTCTATCTTGTGAAAGACAACCATGAACGATGTGTTCAGGAATTTGCTGCCAAGTTCCTTGCATTATTAGTCATAAAGCTGACAGATGAGGCCTGAAAACAAGTGATATTACACAAGATGTCAGCTTATGTGTTTGGTTCAGCATACACATGTCACCTACCAAGCTGTGACTCCAGACTCAGCCACTGCCATGTACACAATCAAGACCCCAGGCACTGTGATAGCTCCAATGAAGAGCTAGTATTTAAGATGCTTGGTGCCAGGGGATCCTGGGTGTGTGCTCCAACACTTTTGGCTGTTTAGCCTTAGCAAGGATGAGCTATATGGTGCACTGAGAGATCTGAACTGCATGATAACTTTCATGGAGGCTGTCAGCCTCCTAACATGAGTTTTCTGATATAAGGATCGAAGAAAAAATGCTGGCACTGTAAGACTAATATTTTATTTCTTTGGGTTTCTTAAGCCCTTTATCAATTTTGCTGCACTATTTCTGTTTACCCTTTTTTTTTGCTTAAAGCTTTCACACTCCTACCATCAGAAACATTAGTACTTCACTGTACACTTTACTATCTTATTTTCAGCTTTACATAATAATTTCCTTACCAAGCCATTTTTTAAAAAATGAAACAAAAGTAAGGACAGTTATTTAGACATATGTAACAAACTAACCTTTTCTTTTTCATTTTCATGCCACATGTCTGTCACTGCGGCTAACCTGACATCCTGTACGGCTTGATCTTTCAGGAGACTGTCCTTGTGTATGCACAATCTCTGATTGGCCAGAGTCACTTCTGACAATTTTGCTTTTAGTTTATCTATTTCCTTTCTCTGCTTTGCTATAGTCACCACCATGGACTTGTTATATTCTGTTTGTTCGTTCAGTGCTACCTCCAATTTCTTCAGTTGACCTAATAAATGGTTTATATTAAACTGATTAACAGGTTGCATAAAACTGACCTTAAAATGTATCAAATTAATAGTAATAACCATCAGTTTTATTCAAAGTAAGCAGAAGATAAAGATAAATTATCAAACAAAACAACAGTTTATATAAATTAATCACCAGTTCATAACACATTGTCAAACTTAAATAATTATATCAAATCAGTCCAGATGCCAGGAACTAAACAGTTTGTATCAAATTAACCAAGCTTGACTCAATCCAAAAAACAATTTCAAATCAGCCAAGTCTGAGCTGACTAAACTGTACAGTAGTTTACATTATACTCCAGTTTATATCAAAATGAACCAATACATAATGCCTTTAAAAATTCTTACTGCATATATCCTGTCTGCAACCGGACGACTGAATTGTAATCTAATTCCATTGCCCTCTTGGTCACACCCTGGTTTTGTTTTTCGACGATCCAATATTTGTTTCATTGCTGCGTTCCCATTTGGGTATGCAAACTTTGACTTTCGACCTCAAAAATCTGCATAAAAGTGTTTGCCGAAAGTTCTTCACTGATTTGAAATATTGATACAATATTACATTAGAATATGTGCGTGTGTTTATATAAGAGTGTCGCACCAAGAACGAACTACATAGTTCCAGTGATGATCACATCGGCACCTTGGTTTTGTTTTCAGACAATCCTATTTCTTTTTCGTTGCTGCGTTCCCGAACTTTGACTGTTGACCTCAAAATGCTGTATAAAGCTGTATGAGATAATAAATTTTTTCGTTACGGGATGTAGAACTGTTGAAAGTCTGGAAATGAAAAGATGTGAGAATAAAATCAAGTTGGAATTAATAATTGTGAGGATAAAAAAAAGAGTTGTTGAAAGACTGTATGGGAATGAAAATATTACTTTTTCTTCTTCTTTTGTTTGCTTGAAATAAATTATCTATATCTGCAATGTTGTCTCTAGTTTTAGGAAAAGATTACTGATTAGTAAGGACTATCATCACAGCATTCCAAACAGATCCATAGGTTCTCAGATCTTTTCCTCGATACCCCACAAGCGCAAAAACCACTAATGATGCCCGTTCTATGGTGATTATTCAGATGACTCTTGCCCTTGGTGCTCCAGGTTGCATTCCTATATCCACCACCCTCAACACAATCTTCTTCGTGAAATGCATGTCACTGGACATCAGTGACATCATTACTGCCCCTGTCGGTAAAGTCACAGTAACTGCCCTGCCCACAAGATTAATCTGCTCATAGTTGCAACAGGTTGTAGTAACCGAATAGCAGTAGTAGTAGTTGTGGTTGGCGAGCGCCAGGTTGTCATGCGGGAGACTGGGGCTCGACTTCCAGTAAGGTGATGGAGTTTTTCTGTCGGGGGCACAATTAAACAACCTGAACAGTCCGTGGCGAAAGCACTGGCCATGAAGCTTCTCTGGCTCATGACCCCCTGTCTACACCGACCTAGGCAGGTGGTAAAACAGGCACTAGTGACATTTTTTTTAGTAGTTGTGGTGCTGGTGGTTGTAGTTCTATTGGTACTCGATGGGTGATGTGTTAAATATTACACTGGACCATTTACTTCTAATTACAATTCCTGCTACTCATTTTAGTCTGGGTGGAGGTGGACACCGATGCCAAGGCCAATTTTAAAAAATGTGTGGGGAATTTCAAATCCTTCAAGAGGGAGGGTCAGTGAATGAGGGGGGTGGGGGGACAGAAATTGTTAATTTAGAGAGCTTTAAACATGACATGATGTTACAGTTTTAATTTTTTTATAATTCATATTTTAATAACTCGACGTCAGCTATTCGCTTATTGTTTTTTTTTCTTCAGACATACAGTAGTGAACTTTACTTTGAGCTCTTTAAAAAATACAAAAAGCTATAGCATGTGATAAACAAATAACCATTTTTTTTTAAGTCTTAATAATACACTTAAAAATACCACTAATATAAGGACAATTATATATTGTGTTTTTAGAGTCTGCAAACCAGGCTATCTGCACAGATAATGATTGTGATATTAACCATATTAGAGAGGTGCGTTGGCTCATGTGTTATTTGGGGTAAGTGAAGAATATGGTTTATGGTTTATACAACTGATCAACATCATGGCAGAAGGGTAGTAACCCATAAATGCTCCATTCTTCTTCTAACTCTTGCCTGAGTCTGAAGAATAGTAATACTTACACGTGTCCTGTTAAAGTATCTGCTAGTAACACTGTAACCTGCACATGTCCTGCTAAAGTATGTGCTATGAGAACAAGAAAGGCTGGCCCAAGGAAGGCTGGCAGGGGTTTGGATACCCCAGACCACAAAGACTTCTAGCCATTAATCCAACAGACCATTTTTTTAATTGGCTGAGGGCCATGGCATTGGGGCTAGATGCTCACCTGCAGATCAGAAGGTCGTGGGTTCAGGTCTCGATGGAACCGGGCATTAAAAAAAAAAAAAGACCCATCTTTAAATGGGTACCAAAGTCCTAGGAAGTAAGGGCTGCAACATGACACTGACCACATCACCCACCAAGTGCCAACTGGCTATAAAATATAGGTCTAGCCCTACATGTGAAATACGCCAGAAGGTGTGGAAAAGGGTCCTTTACTTTACTTACTTACTTAGTTTAATGTTTAATCAAGTATCAAAATCATAGCACTCGGGACATCCTGATAAGTCCTGTGTCCACATCTTCAGCAGCAAGTGCAGAGTTTCAATTCCGATGGTACCAATAGCAGTCTGTATATCCATCTCACCTTTTCCCTGAGTGCTGATCATCGGCTAAATCCCTTGGTAACTCCCCGCAGCACCATTCTCCTCAGACTGTGATGATCCGTCTGTACCTCCACATTGTTCACTCGCCCCTAAATAACCCTTAGAACATCTATCTTGCCATGCATCAATTGACCACCAGTTGTGCAGAACCAGCCAGTTTATCTGCCTGTTCTTTTCCTAATAAACTGGCACACCTGCAGAAAATTTCCAAAGGATACTAACTACCTGGGAACTCTGAAACGATGTGAGCCATTCTTCACGGAGCATACTAGTCTCCACCTTTCTCCACATGCTCTGTGAGTCCGTTACAATTAGGACACCTGATTCTCAAGCCAGGGAAAGGCTGCAGTGACTTGCTCACTTAATGAGGGCCTATACACCAGCTGGAAGTAAAGTCACAGAACAAGAGGAAAAGAAACATTATTTCCGTTAGGAAAAAAGGCTTATCTCCATAATCAGAAATTCTCACTTTAGAACACTCCCAGAAACCAATTAATTCTGTAAATAGAAGTTTAACTGTAATTGCTTTCAAGGACAGAGGACATGGAATTACAGCAGGGACAGAATGGATAGCCACAAAAATATGAATGGGCATGAATTACCAGCTGGGTATTATCAGTGTGTCCAGTAATGAATTCCCTTGTGAATGTGTGCATCAGAAGTAAATAAGCGAATAATTCTTATATAGCCTATTTTTTGTCAGAACAAAAACTTACGTGAGGATTCCTCTTGTCCAAGAGACTGTGAATTACAGCATTTGTTACTGACCATTTTGTACAATACTGCTTTATTCTGTGCTAATATCTCGCAGAACTATGAGAGCACTGTGCTTGATACTAATCTCTTAGGGTTCGGTCCCAAGAAAAAGATAAAATTGGATAGAATTTCTCATACTATTTTCAAAGGAAAAATGGCCCCTATGATGTTAGCATTTATTGGCCATGAATCTGGGTTTAACTTATGCCTCAACGAAGACTTTCTGGCAGACTTATGCCTCAACGAAGACTCTGGCAGACTTTTGCCTCAACGAAGACTTTCTGGCAGACTTATGCCTCAACGAAGACTTTCTGGCAGATAAAGAGAGCTACTGTGCTTCTATAAGACAATATTCAGACAGTCCTCACCTGTTGCTGACTTGTATACTTTCCTCAAAGTATCAAGCTCTTCTGTGTTCCATACACTAGATTTATGAGGGTCTAATTCTTCGTCTTTTTTCCGTTCTGAAAATGTATAGAAGACAAAAGCAAAAATATATGTTTGCACAGGTAATAATTGGCAGTTTAGATCAAGTTAATCATGAGACAAACAATTTTAAGGTTGTAATTTAGCTGTCATAAAAATTAACTGACTGTCCCTGTGCAAATGTAGATGAAAATCCTGGCCTATTCGGCCACAATAAAACAGACTCAAATTTAGCTGTGTTCAGGGTAGTTACTATCATACTCTACAATCACATGCTCACATGCAATACACATCACACATACATGTGTGAACATTCATGCATACGAGCAAGAAGAAATAATTTATTTACTGTCAGATGACAACACCTGGTGTTGCTAATTTATCACTGTGATTCTTGTTTCTTGGAACTGACATGATAACACTGATAAACCCATAGATGCTCCATGTCCCCCAGAAATGTTGTAAAACATGGTGGCTAATAACTCCAGTAAAACCCAGGTGTCATTTAATGAGGTGAGAATTTGTCACCCTTCCAAAGTTGAATATACAACGTCAGCACTAATTACAGAAGATAATGTCAGCTTTTTAAAATCTGGTCAACTTATTTATTCCTCACTGTTAGTGTTAGAAATAATTAAATGTAGCGTCTGGTAGGCACAACTGGCAATAAAGAAGAAAAGAGGAGTTGCTTGTGTAACCACCATGCACCCAGCTGCACAAGTAACACACAGTATGACATACCTCCAGTGCTTCCACAAAAGCAGATCAATATTAGGTTGAATATTAGATATAGTATCTCTCCACTTTTGTCTTGGTCTGCCTCATGGTGTACTCCCATTTAACTCTTTGTGTAAACATTTTTGTCTCTCTATTATCTGCCATTCTCTCTATTTGTCCCAATCATTGCAGTCCATTGGTTATCATGATGCAAGTAAATAGTAGTGATTTAAACATTTTGAATTTTGTAGTTACACTCCATTCTCCACTGTCTGCATCTATATTAATAGCCTCAATGTTGTTATTACCAGCTTCAAAGATAGCCTAGATATTGTTATTACCAGCTTCAAAGATAGTCTAGATATTGTTATTACCAGCTTCAAAGATAGCCTAGATATTGTTATTACCAGCTTCAAAGATAGCCTAGATATTGTTATTACCAGCTTCAAAAATAGCCTAGATATCGTTATTACCAGCTTCAAAGATAGTCTAGATTTTGTTATTACTAGCTTCAAAGATAGCCTAGATATTGTTTTTACCAGCTTCAAAGATAGCCTAGATATTGTTATTACCATCTTCAAAGATAGCCTAGATATTGTTATTACCAGCTTCAAAGATAGCCTAGATATTGTTATTACCAGCTTCAAAGATAGCCTAGATATTGTTATTACCAGCTTCAAAGATAGTCTAGATATTGTTATTACTAGCTTTAAAGATAGCCTAGATATTGTTATTACCAGCTTCAAAGATAGCCTAGATATTGTTATTACCAGCTTCAAAAATAGCCTAGATATCGTTATTACCAGCTTCAAAGATAGTCTAGATATTGTTATTACCAGCTTCAAAGATAGCCTAGATATTGTTATTACCAGCTTCAAAGATAGCCTAGATATTGTTATTACAAGCTTCAAAGATAGTCTAGATATTGTTATTACCAGCTTCAAAGATAGCCTAGATATTGTTATTACCAGCTTCAAAGATAGCCTAGATATTGTTACTACCAGCTTCAAAGATAGCCTAGATATTGTTATTACCAGCTTCAAAGATAGCCTAGATATTGTTATTACAAGCTTCAAAGATAGTCTAGATATTGTTATTACCAGCTTCAAAAGAATTTTCTTGGTCCATAAATGCTACTCTTTCTGTAAATAATCATAAGATGAAAATGTGTAAGTTTTGTAAAAGCTGACAACAGTTCAACAGAATACTCACCTTTTTCTGTTTGCTCTTGCAGCAGTTTTTCTTCCGCTTTGACAATACGTTGATGAACTTTATCAAATACTTCTCGAATTGTTTCTGGGTCAAGAATTGGCACCCGCAGGGGTTTCCTTTCTTCATGCTTGTACCCATATTTTCCTGCTACTACTATTGCTTCAAAGTCATAAACTGGTGCAAATAGTTCCTGCACCCACATTCCTGGCAAGTGAGTCTTGCAGTCTGTCTGATCATCTTCTTTTGATTCTTGTCAGGTGCTTTAAACAAAATATTACAATCGGGTCACTTTTTAAACAGCAAAATGGTTTTAAAAGCAAGACCACGGGTAATCTGCCTAAGTTTCCCAATCTGTTATTTGTGGGGTTTGAGTAAACCCAAAATTATATATATATATAAATTTTTCATCTGTACTTTTGGTTTTCTTTTCGAAACGGGGTCCCTGTTCGATTCAGATGTGGGCGATTTGTCTTGCTTTTTTTCGACAGTGTTCCCAGGTGCAAATTTGGGGCAAACACTAAAATCCTTAAAGGAAAATTAAATAACTGATTTATAATATAATATATATATTTTATATATATATATATATATATATTTAAAAAAGAGGAAAAACATTCAAAACTATATTAAGTTTGAATTTAATTAAACCCTTTAATTTTAAAAACTTTGTGTGTAAGTAACGTGTCATGCTTCAAAAACAAAATACGGGCTCAGGCCGGGTTTTGGTAATGTCTCCTCTCTCTTTTCTAACTAAAATTTTTTCAAAAAGGACTTTAAAAAGACAAAGTACAGAGTTTTGGCTAAATGTAGCAATCAAAAGATCGCTGACCTACCAAGGACGCTTTTTTCCTCCATTGTGGATTCGTTAGACACTAGATCCCCCAGATGCGGGAAGGGACATATTCAAATGTTGTGAAACATCATACAGAAAAAGTCACCCCAAAACCCCCCCCATCCATTCCCAGGTGCCCCGCTACTTTTAAATTCTGTTTCTTTTCTTTTCTTTCCCCCCCCCCCTCTCATTCCCACGGCTACTAGAAATTTTGTGTTTTCCTCCACTCTGGCTTTCGCAGTTGACCCTTAATCTTAATATTTTTGCAGACTTTTTTTCACCTAGTTCTTTTCTATTGAATATTTAATTTCGTCAACTGAAGACGTTAAACCAGCCAAATAACGGTACGCCCCCAAATAAAATCGCTTAAAGCATCCCAACAACCAGGGAAAATTTCAACAAATGGTTTTTAATGCGCATGTCACGAAAATGAAAAAAAATTTTAGCTTGTTTGGGAAATAAAAGAAGAAACTTCTTCCTTCCTGCGTTCGACCTTTTCTAAACTTGAGTCCCCGGGTAAAAAAAAAGGGTTTTTCGTTTAAGGTCGCCCTGGGCCCCCATGCTTCTCTCGAATTGATCCCCCTGGCCAAAACCCATCTTTGCTGGGGGAAAGGGAAGGGGAGACTGCATTTGCTCTGGGGCTGTTTTCTGCTCCCAACACAGGCGCAATTTTTTAGCCCTTTCCTTTCGTTTGCTCGGAAAAACAAGTCCAGGGCCCGAATCCCCCAAAAAATTTGTTTTTCTTTCCTTTGAGTTTGTTAATGCTGCACTCTCTGGTTTGTAATCTCCCTTCTCCTTGCCACTCCCCCTTGAAAAACTGCTTTAGCGCTGTTTTGGTTTTCCCTTTTAGCTGTGGTGGTAGGTTGTGGAAATTACTCCCAGTTTTTTCCAACCCATCCTCCCCCC